CGCCGCGATATGCAGTGCCGTTCGCCCTTCATGGTCAGCATGAGCGAGGAGTCTGCAAATGAAGACCGAGTGCATAGCCGCGAAGTAGGGTGGGGGTTTAATATCTCTGTAGTGTTCGTCGCTCTCTTCTGTAGCGGCACTGAGATGCATTTTGAAGACGTGCGATACTAGCACGGTCATCACAGTCTCGTCTGCGGTCGCGGATGCAATCTCCAGTGCCGTGTGCTCGTCGCCGTCCTCGTCGAGCACCAGTAGAAGCAGCGGCTGCTAAAGACTACGGCTCCTACACTCAGGAACGTTCATGAAGGCGTGGCACTGCAAGGAGCTCACCGTGCAGACAAGCCTTCTCAGACAGGCATAGAGTTCCCAAGTGACATGATCGGTATGTCAATCAAACGGCCCAATCAGTGAGCTACAAAGGACTGACTGTTTGCGTATTAAGACAATGAGCATTCCTATACTTGACGCCACGCATTTGAAATCCAACCGCAGCTGCTGTCCTTCTCGTCAACGTGAAGGCAGTTAGATGTCACGCGAGGCCAAGATGGCGAGAAAAGAGGCTCGGCCGCTTTTACAGCCGAGCTAAAGCCAGCCAATAAGAGAGCGAGACTCATGGCAGCCGCCAACAGGGTCGCAGCCCTCCCCTAAATTTTTCGCCTACTGCTGCAGAGATGCCTAGCTCCGTCACTTAGGGCGGGTCGTGGGACGCCCACTACCAACGTTCACCCTAAATCATCGCCCGTCGCGCGATTGGCTAGAGCGGGCGAGCCGACCGCGCAAGTTCCCTCCATTCCCAAATCATTACCGACCCGCCAGCCCCGCCCCCCTCAGAGTCATCTCGCGGCATTCCTCAACGAGTCGGTCTCAATTCTCGGGGTTTGGGACCCTGCATCTCTGCAGCTGGGATTGGTCTTACGTTGCATGAGCAAGTCAAAGATAATGCCTATTTGACACTTCCTTCGGTCTCATAGACGCCTCCTCATCGGATTTGGCAAACCACCGCCATGTCAGTGGAGGACGATTCGCCCCCGGGATGGAGGCGGGCCAGAAGCAACGACTGGGCCAGTAATCCAAAGTATATCGAACTACAAGAAGAATTGCGTTCCGGCTTCTCTACCATCACCTCGGGCATCACGAGCTGGGCAAGTTCACCAACCGCAGCACCCGGCGGCCTCAGCAATTCACGCCCACGAGTGCAGTCAGTCGACCAAGGGTATGATTTCACCCGTGTCGCCATTCCCAAGAGCCGCTTGTGCATGTACTTGTCACACTGGCACACCGAGTGTGCCCCCCTCCTGGACAAGTTCGACGAGGCTCAGCACTTCGGCGTCCACCTACCTGTTGCGGCGCGGAAATCACCAGCGTTATTCTATGCGCTCCTGGCCTTCTCGGCGCGGCATTACGAGAGGACGTCTTGTCCTGGTGATATAGACGATACCCTAGAGTTGTATCAGGAATCCATTCGCCTGTTGGTGCCTGCACTTCAGACGGGAGATGATAACGTTCTTGGGACGGCATGCATTCTGGCTTGCCTTGAGCTCATGTCGAATGGCTCTCACGACTGGCGCCGACATGCGCAGGGCTGCGCTTCCCTGTTCCTCCGCTTTAACGTCAACGGCTTCTCGACTGGCTTGCAGCAGGCCATCTTCTGGTGCTATGCGCGTATGGACCTCTGTGGCGCAATCATGTCCTACGGCGCAAACAGCACTGTATTGCCCCTTGATTACTGGGTACCGGCAGCTGGCTTCGGCGTCGTATCTCAGGACGACTACGTCAGGACTTTGTTCGCCCACAGGGGCTCGGAATCACCCGACATGTATGCTAACTGGGTAGTCTACCTATGCGCGCAGGCCTGTGACTTTTTGCACCGACAAACGCAATATCTCGAGATGGGTAGATTAGACGACCGCGACAGGGAGCCTTTCGACAAACAATGGGTTTGGCTTTGGGAAGAGCTGCAGCATTGGTATCTCCACCGACCACCTGCTATTCATCCCATATATGAGTGCTCTCCGACTGGAAGCGAATGCTTTCCCGAGATTCTCTTCACCCATTGGGCTGCCATCTCCAGCACGCAGCTGTATCATACGGCTTGCCTGATTCTGATCGACACTAGGGTAGATGCCTGTGTGCCAGATTTTCCACCTTCCTCAGGCCAGCCCTTCACTATCGCTCGGTGGCATGCCCGTCGCATCTGCGGTATCTCAACGGCCAATCCCCACACAGCGAGCTTGGTCAATGCTGTCCAGCCTCTCTATGTCGCTGGTCGACTGATGACGCATCCCAAGGAGCATCTGGCAGTCGCCCGTCTCCTAAAACACGTTGAGACGACGACGGGTTGGAGTGCCATCTGGAGACTTGCCGACCTAGAGAGAGAGTGGGGTTATGAGCCTGGTGAGATCAGCTGAGCGATCTCCAATGTCGATGAGACTGAGTACGGATCTAAGAAATAAGAAAGCACATAAATACCATCACATGGGTCGGGAGATCCAGACGGACAGAGGAGAGGCCCCGGGATTTATGAAGGGACCTGCGGATGGATGCTACGCGCATTGATCTCAAAAGCTGCTTGGCTAATTGTCCTTTGCTTGGGATAAGACGTGCTCCGTGCGTAGACAACACGCAGAGCTTGCGTTTCGAGTATCGCGCTACTGATCTGGTCCCTACGCGTGGCCTAGCAAATGAGGCGGAAAAACAAAGAAAGATCTTCAGAATAGTGTATACATACTATCATAAGAAAGGCTTATTTTGAGAGATGTCCTCAGGTTTGTTGGCCATGGCATCATGTTTAGATGTGCAAGTTCACAGTCGATATTCTGCATTCGCCTTGCTCTTCAACCCCTCAATCTGGTTAAGGAGGCTCACTTTCTCTTCTTGGAGCTGGTCAATGTCAGTGGTGACTATTGAGGTACTCAGAGCTGAGCGGGTCTCGTCGCCTGTCGCCTAAGACTAACATAGAGACGAGGGATCCTACGCGAGGCCCACCATGCCCCTCCGCTCCAGCTCTGGCTCCGATCCGACTCCTCCTCGACACCGGAAATGCCGATGACTGCACAGCCGATCACCGCAAAGCCGATATCCCATCGTTTCTCTCTTATTCTCCCCTCTTACTACCTGTGGAGCAGCGCCGTCGCTTCGGTGTTGGCTAGGCCTGTTAGACTACCCCATCAGCCGTCAATCGCGTGGCCCCAGCATCGTTCGCGTCTCTCTCTACTGAAAAGCGACCTCATCTCAACACCACCGAAAAAAACTCCAAGTCAAACCCAGACTTGCACCTCACAACCGCCTCTCACCTCTTAACCACTACCGACCCAAAACCACCTCAGGAGTCCACACAACGGCATCTCATTAAGCCTCACCACGTTGCCTGCTCCCATCTACGCTCTACACAACCGCATCTCGACCTCTCACCCCGCCTCATCTGGCCCACCATGGCTCTTCCTCGCATCACTATCCTGGGCTCCCTCAACATTGACCTTGTCTCCTACGCCCCCCACCACCCCGTTCCCGGCGAAACCCTCACATCCTCCGCCTATGCCGTCTCCTGTGGCGGTAAGGGCGCCAACCAAGCCGTCGCCTGCGCCAAGCTCTCCCGCAAGCCCGACCTCTCCAGCCCCTCTGCCCACGTCGCCATGCTCGGCGCCCTGGGCTCCGACTCGTACGGCAGTCAGCTGCGCGACTCGCTCGCCTCCTACGGGGTCGACACAGACGGCGTGCTCACTCGCGAGGGAAAGAACACCGGCGTCGCAATCATCATCGTCGACGAGCCCTCTGGTCAGAACCGCATCGTTTTCTCCCCGGAGTCGAACCACTCCCTCCTTCCCGCGCATTTCGCCACCCTCCCTGACCCGAAGCCAGACCTGCTTATCATGCAGCTCGAGATTCCCTTCGATACCGTCATGCAGGCCCTCGCCGCCGCTAAGACAGCTAACGTCCCTGTTTTACTCAACCCTGCCCCAACGCAGGAGCTGCCCCTCGCCGCGTACGACGGCCTCGCGCACCTCATCGTTAATGAAACCGAGGCTGCGCTGCTATCAGGTGCCAAGGAAGAGGAGCTGGAGGATCCGCAGGGATTGAAGCGCATCGGTGCGTTGTTCATTGAGAGGGGCGTGCTGAACGTGATCATCACCCTCGGTGGACGGGGCGTTTACTACGTGAACAAGGCGGGTCAGAGCGCGCTCGTCCCGGCTCTCAAGGCAGGGGTTGTGGACACCACAGCGGCTGGTGACACCTTCGTCGGATCATACGCCCTGGCTGCGGTAGACAGTGCGTTTGATATCGAGGAGGCGGTTCAGGAGGCCAACCGCGCTGCCGCAAAGACGGTCGCGAAAAGGGGTGCGCAAGTATCGATTCCTTGGAAGGATGAGCTGTAAATCTACGAAATTTCAAATGATAGAAAAACCAAGAATAACAGGTGAGAACCAATAATAAGAAAACACTTCAAACTCTAAGGTTTCAGAACCATGACGCCCAGCCACATCTGCTCGAGCCTTTTCTGTTCGCGCGGACCGTGGCACCGATCCCTGGCTTGCTGCGCCTGTCTAAAGGGCCTGCCTCTCCATCACTGAAGCCAGGGAACAGGCGCCTGAACGACGAGTCCATCGCACTGGGACGACAATCAATCGATGGCGACTCGCTAGGCTCCTCGCGGTACTAGTCCGAGTGGTATGACAAACCGGAGAGATCACTGCTTAGAGGTACAAGTTTTGAACGATACGTATTCTGCTGTCTGTTTGTGGACACCGAGGTTGAAGGTAAAGGTGGGGCCAAAGCTGGCGATATGCGGGATTCTGGATGAGATTGTGCTAATGCTCCGTCCAGTTGCGCAGTAACCCATGTTTCGAACGTCGTAGAATCGGTAGGGTCTGCTTTGGATGGTGTCAAGTTCGCTGTTTCAACCCGTAACGAGCAGAAACAGCGTATCAGGGGCCGGTGCTGGCAGAGGTGACCGAGGGGAGAGTCCATTGCTCTGCTTCAGTGTCACTACAGCTGTAGTCTCTATTGTACTCTCGATCGTGGAAACCCCGCCGGTCGTATCGGAGTCCGCGAGCATAGGAAACGCAGAGTGAGAGTAGGACACCCGGACTTTCATGTAGTCGACCCGCAAGTCTCCTAACTGAAATTCCAGATCTTCCATTAGTTCGTTGGAATGCTGGCGTACGTGGCCCGCTTGTCTGGGGAGTAAGGACTTTGAAAGATCGATCTGTCTTTCTGCCAAGAGCAAGATGCTCAAGCCCGCGTAGATCGTACTGTCTTCTATGTCGCGAGGAGAGTACCCTGACTTCTTTACCAGTAGTTCTTTAATATACAGATAATTACACTTTTTTTGGTCAGTGTTTCGGCCCACCCAAGGAGGAGTGCCAGCCTATTACTCTTTTTATCGCGCTACCGTAGTCCGTGAAGCCAGAGCTAACAAGCCGAAAAAGGCTTTTGTAGGTAGAGAGATGTCGAGCATTCTGCTAAGAGAGAGCGTAAAGCACATACACGTATTTTTGGTTTACCCTGTAGCTGTAGCTGAGGGTAGAGATCTTACTGGACATTGGTCATTCGGCAGTCTCAATTAAGAGATCCCCTAGCTATAGAGGCTATAGAATAAGCGGTCATAGGCTCGCTTAAAGACAATATAAAAATATATCCTGAAGAAGGAAATTATG